CGTTTATGCAAAATTATGAGGTTTAACGGTTGATTTGATAAACAATTTTCTTACAAGAGCCCACGATCGTAAGCCTCTCAACCAACAACCTACATGCACCACTCTAGTATTTACTCAACACAATGGACCACAAATGGTTATTTCTTGATTATATGTTTTGTAATTTATTTGCACGTTTTATGAAATCAGCCCCTTAATTAATTTTCATCATTCAAAAAACATGTTCATTTTTTATTTCATCGCAAATACAATGTATCTTACAAACAAAATGTATTAATTGAAGAGCACTAAGGTAAACAATACAGAAAAGTTGATGTAAGAAAACGTTAAGAAAAAATACAATTAAATAATTATCTTAATTTAATTTACTGATATAACGTTGGAGCTATAAAACACCTTATGCAAGAACACTAAATTATTAATGACGTCTTATGGTTTTAACCAAATGTTATTAAAAAGTTAAATTAGGCCTTATATACAAAAAGCAATCATTTTCGCACTTTTAGATACTAACACAGCGTATACTCTATTAAATATAATTCTTTCCCAGTACAATCAATATCTTGATTTTAAGATGAATTGCTCCAATTCAAGAGCTTCACCCTGCAATAAAAACTCAATAAAAAGCCTACAAATAATATACCGGTTTTCCTGGCCAATTTTACGGCACCGCCCTCAACCAGAAGTCACCATTTTAATGTCTTAATTTTATATACCGTGCAGCTGATGTTCTAAATTCTTTCTATAACTGGGCTACAATACGGAATTTCTTTAACAATAACAAATGCTAATACCCTACTTGGATTTGAGTAGGCTTGAAATGGAATTGAGTAACCGCTCATATTTTAAGGCCTAATGTTTGTCATTCCCAAAGCAACACCTATGGTAAGAAAACAATGTATTTTTTAAATTTATTTACTATTATATTATAAAATACCATAGTCTATATTCTGTTCGCACGGATATTAGAGGAGTCAATCATACACAATGTGCGGTAAAGATCTCCCCACAGAAGTCTTATTTTTCGTTCAATAACGAGTTCGAACTTAGAAAATAAAATCACTCTATACTGATTCTGTAAGTTGTTTTTTTTTTTTGTCAATCGTAAAACGGGGCGACAAATACTTCCATAAATGTACAGATATTTACTAGAAAAAGGAATACAGTAGGTCCAAGGTAGGTCTAAATAAGTGTCACGACCAATCTCACTCTGCGAAACGCCTATGAGATAATACTCACACAGTTAAACTTACCAGCTACCTCTTGAGAATAATTCAAATCAGATGCAGTTCACACAACAAAATACAAATGAACAATCACATGATAGGCTATACTACTTAAGAAAGTAACATAAGTATACATATACTGCAAGATGGAAGCGGGCTCAACAAAATTATGCCGCCAGATCACGAGATCTGTAAATTTGGCCCAAAATAATCTCATATCACGGGAGACTGTACGCAACTCTTCTCTTATTAACTTATAAAATGTCGCTTAATTTACTGTCTACAATTTTAACTATGAATATTTACAAACAATGCAAAGGTGCAATATTTCTACAATAAATAATTACCATGTAATAGTTTCAAAAGTTTCAACTTCAAAACCAGAACACAACAATTGTTAGAAGCAGGCACGAACATTTGCAGCATGTACGTACAATAATGATATTATTATATGACATAATAACACGATATCGTGACGTCCCTTCATTAGTACAATACTATATAAATTTGAACTTTAATAATTAATGCAAATTTGGCAGTGAAATTTTATATTATATTATATT